GCCTAGACCACGGCCTTGCCCAACACAAGTTATAAATCTGAGCACCACCGGGAATTGAACCCGAGACCCCAGGATTACAAGGTTAGCGTTCTAACCGCTAGACCACCGTGGCGGTTCACAGGTCTATACTAATGGACAAAAACTAGGTGTCTGCTTCCGGTCCCTCCGAAAAACTGCGCCTTATAGTATCGTAAAAGTAGACGGAAGTTTCGGAGGTGTTTACTACTTCCATCATCAGGGCGATGAGTAAGCTGCGCGTGAAAAATTTAATAGAGATTGGACAAGTTAGAACCTGAGCCGTCGCAAGGGGTTTGGGAGGTGGGAGGAAGGGAGGAAGTAAGGAAGTAAGGAAACAGGGCGGAATAAAGACTGGAAATCGAGGGGAGGGTGAGACAGAGCCATGGAAGGGACCGTGGAAGTCCTACCCTCGTCACACTCATCATATAATTCTCCCTTTCATCTCTCCCCCCCTCTTGGACAGGCTGTAGTCCGCTCTTTCTTCTCAATTGCTCACTCGCCGTCTTCACCCAGTCCTCGCTCACTCCCCCTGACACCCTGATGAAGCCAAGATTGTACCTCGACTGTCCGGTTCTCAAATCTCTAGCCAAAATATCACGCGCATTTTTCCCTAATCGCCTTGATTACAGGGGCAGAGTCCATCTCTGAAACGTCGATCTGCTTCTGCGAGACTAGACAGCGCAGTGTCCCAGAAGGGTGTCTTGTACCCTGTTTCTTCCGGGAACTCGTGACGTTCAACAGAAGAACCCACGGCAAGTCCTGATGAGCACAGCGATGCTTTATGATATCCTGATTCTGAAGGATTTTGAGGACCGCAGCGCCAGCTGAGGAAGAAGACGGTCTGAAGTGCTTCCAGCTTTTAAACAACCACAGACCGTTGGATATGCTGATTCTGGTGCAGTTTAACGCTTTTGCTGAACATCAGTCTGTCTTCCAGACGTAGTCGGTTACCCCCAGTCTCGTCGCAACGCTTGTCCTGGTATTCCTCCGTCATTGACTGCCCTGATGTCTCAGAGTTACGGTAGTCAGACGTCCCACATGCTTGTCCTATCTCCTCAGGAGCAGCGACATATTATATAAAACAACCCTGTAACAACTGTCGCTTCTATGTGAAAGTGATTTACTTGCATTCCTCAAGCGTGTCTTCTGCTGAGATAGACCTAAAGTTTTTTAAATTTTCAGACACCTTTCCTTTGCAGAGGGCTGAGGGTAGATCTGAGTCATCAGTCTTGACAGACTTCTCTGGTACATCTGCATCTTGGCCTTTGAAAGTCTCGTCTATCAACTCTATTTTTCTTCTTTAACGTTGGCTGACGTCGATCTTTATGCGTGTCTTCTGCTGAGGTATACCTAAAGCTTTTTAAACGTTCAGACACCTTTCCTTTGCAGAGGGTTGAGGGTAGCTCTGAGTCATCCAGTGGTAGATCTGGATCGTGGTCTTTGAAAAACTCGTCTATCAACTGTCTTTTCTGCTCGAAGGGGAGTTTATATGGATCGTCAATTGTGGATTCTGCTGAGGTAGTCATAGAATTTTTTGAATTTTTCGAGACCATTTTATTTGAACCGTCAACATGTGCTGTAGACTTCTCCTCTTGTTCTTTTGGGAGCCTCTGGAAAACAGACGATATGAATGAATTAGGCGGTGAAGGGAGATACAATTAAGTTGGTGTAACCGTATTCTTTATCATCAGATAAGATTTAGAAAACACTCATTTTTGATATTGCGGGTTCATGGAATATCGTTTAACACCAGGACAGTAATAACAGTCGTTCTCAATAAATTATTTACTTAATAAATTATCACAGAATAGCAAACAAAGATTAGAACACTTTGTCACACACATCTGTTCCAAGTCAGAATATGAAACCCGAAAGCCAAATTGGAACGATTGAAGATTTACACAGAACGTTCTTCTGTGGCCCCCACAATAGAAAATACGTCAAACGTCCACCGTCAGATGCCCATTAATAGACTCCATGGAGCGTCGCCTTCCTTGTTAAGCTGATAGTCGCTCATTTGGGCAACGCATTCTCAGACTTTTATCCTGACTGAGGTAATTCGTGTTGTTCTCTATTTCCACCAGGAAAATGCAAGCAAAACCTCAGACCAAGACCGCTCCCTTCCAGATTCATTATTCACTGTCATCCTCTCATCAGAGCCAATTAAAAGGCGTCGTTAAATGGACTACAGTGGCTAGTGGCCTCCGTCCTCAGCAAATAAAAACAAGATCCGTTTTAATATTATTCTCCCATCAACGCTTGTCTCCCGAGTGGCCTCTTTCCTGCAGGTATTCGAATTGAATGTCTGCACGCATTTCTTATGTCTGTCATTCGTTCTGAATGCCCTCCCCCAACTCATCCTTGTTTTGGTTTGATCACCTTAATTCTGTTTTGTGAAACACACGAATGCCTAGCCCTCCCTGTTGTTATGGAAACTGAATAATGATTACGAAGGGATAATAAGCCAAGAGCTCTTAACAGAGGGTACACGTGTCGCTGTAAGCACGGATGAACTTGTTGAAGAAGCTTCTGAGGCATGAAACTGGAGGGCGGTGCCATTAATTACCATTGAGTTCCTAACAAATTCCTGTGTCCTTGTATGGCGTAAATTTAAAAGTAGGTGGACTGCATATTCTGTCTTTGTTTGCATTCGGTTGGCTTCTGTTTGTAGCGAAAGTTCAAATGTTGTAGAAGAACACAGAGATGCTGAGAACTTGGTAGCTAAGAAACGCTTGTCTCTGACAATCTTCCAGCATTCGAGAGAAAACTTTAAGTCTTAAAGGTCATCACAACATTTTTCATTGATTTAAAACAAATAACTTTTGTCCCTGAAAAGCTTAATGTAAGATTTTGTTGAAGACTTTCAGTCATAACATTTGGCTTGCGGTCCACATTGGTCGGTCCTGGCACTTAAAATTGGCCTTAATAAAATAAAAGTTTGCTCATCACATGCACTGGGCTAGATTATATTTTATTTTAATATTTGTTGGTTACTGAAGGCTGTTTCGGAACTAGGTTTCATTGTAAGTAATTTTAATCAGCATACAGTAGATTCTGCATTAACGGTGTTCTATCTGGATTAAATTTGAATTTAGGATTAATTGAGAAAGTCTGCTGTAACATTTAAAACGTTTAAAAACAATGACATATTACCTCGCGTATTAACAAAAATCAGTTGTTACTAAACCCTGAAGTTTACGAAAATAGACTGGTATTACTATTCCTTCAAATGATTTTTCAAAATATTGTTGATATGTACTGTATTAATTTTATAAACAAATTTTTACATCTTGTTAGTAAATCTTCACGAATTTGGGTTGTATATTTATGTTAAGTAACCTTACGTATTTGTTACATTTGCATAGTTTTCTTTCATTTCGGGTGATTACACGGGTGTCCGATTTTCCGAGAAAATATTTTCGAACAAATTCGTATAATCTGTATTCTGCCTTATTAAAAATCGTACTTGGATACCATGTTTGGTTTAAGTTCATTGTGCTATTTATTTTATATGTCCTAGCTCACTAATACCGAAGATGGAAGTTAAACAAATTAGAAAAGATGTCACTTCAGTATGGAAGTAAAAATTCTCTCACGAAGTTAATTGGCTCCACATTTTTACTTACCTTAATTTTGCGGAATATTTTTCTCCAACGCCTGCCTATTTTCGATTTCTTCTCAATTTTGGAGTCCAGAGACTTGGGTGCCATAATGAAATGCAAAATCAGAACAGAGCTCTCTACAGACACGTTCGTCTACCAAGTCTCCTTAAAGTACCTCGTTTATTATAACCGTGGAAACGTCGGAACAATGTTAACAAACATTGCATTGTTTTTTCGTCTCTACGTATATAAACATATCCTTCTGTCGTTAACATTGTTGTCGTATAGAGAACAGAATGACGTCACACGATTCATTATGATTTCCTGGCAATAATAATATTTCAGAGCGACGTGGGGTCCCATGTGGGGATTTTATGTGAAGTAGAAATGCCTGAGTTGGTTAGAATATTGTGACGAACTGAACCCCTTTCCAGCCCACCAAAGAAAACAAACGAGTACAATGTGACGTACTCAACGCTGATCCATCTAAACGGCACTAGTTTGTATATGTACCACTCGGCAACTAGATTTTGCCCACAGCATTTGTGTATGGGCGTGGCGTGATCCCCAGACAGTTCAACGTCCCTCTGCCTTCTTAACTTCCAAACGCCGAACATTCCTGTTAATCTGCCTTTACCAGAAGGACGAGCGGGCACTGCCTGGGAACATTCACAACTGGAAACCTGTCTTTCCTTTTTCCACCCTTAAATGCAGTGTTTTTTTACAAAAGAATAAAGGTGAATCTGCCCGATGAGAACATATATATGCACCGCCCGCTTTCGACTTCGCATACTGTTTCCATCTTCAGGGCTGAAACTTTATTGCCGGATAGACCATGGTTTATATAAGGTAGAGGAAGGGCAACAGTTCATTTTCCAGCCGCCATTATTAAGTTTTCTTTTCACGAAGTGCATAGCGAGAACGCGTTATGGGCTTGTCGTGTCTGTCTGTCCATCCATTCGATTCAACTCGAGAACCACTCGATGGAATTTGATGAAATTTGATATGGTTTTTGCCACTCTGTAAGACCTCAAAATCGTACTTCTGAATAAGGTAAGAGGCTCTTCCAAGTGCAATAATGCTTCTGTTAGATTCCCCATGTCTGTCTGTCTGTCCATCCATTCGATTCAACTCGAGAACCACTCGATGGAATTTGATGAAATTTGATATGGTTTTTGCCACTCTGTAAGACCTCAAAATCGTACTTCTGAATAAGGTAAGAGACTCTTCCAAGTGCAATAATGCTTCTGTTAGATTCCCCATGTCTGTCTGTCTGTCCATCCATTCGATTCAACTCGAGAACCACTCGATGGAATTTGATGAAATTTGATATGGTTTTTGCCACTCTGTAAGACCTCAAAATCGTACTTCTGAATAAGGTAAGAGACTCTTCCAAGTGCAATAATGCTTCTGTTAGATTCCCCATGTCTGTCTGTCTGTCCATCCATTCGATTCAACTCGAGAACCACTCGATGGAATTTGATGAAATTTGATATGGTTTTTGCCACTCTGTAAGACCTCAAGTTACTCGTATCCTACCTAAGGCCGATCTACTTAAAATTTTTACACTTTGTGCATAACTGCCGGTATTAATTGAATGAATTATTTTACGACGATCTAAGAACGTGTGAGGCTACTTTGGTCTACGAGGAACGGTAAAAATATTTCGGATGCCTAGGTATTAATCTCGATCTATTTCTGGGAAGGGCAGTTACGATTATCCCCAAGAAGATCAAAGTCGGTGGGATTTGTTTCTGGAGTCCAACTGTGTCGAGAGCATAAAATGAGTTCAACTACGAAAAACTTTTTCTTTGCGAAAAAATAACTGCCCGAGAGAGCCCGGAACGTTTCAATAAAAACAATGTACTGTAGCTGGAATGCAAAGAGATATAAAATCCATGAAATAATTCTGTGACGAATTTGAGTGGCTCACGATGAGGTTAAGGTAATCGTAACAATTTGAGAGGAAGTTTTGGCAACAACGAGAGAAGGATATTTTTGGGTTTTGGCGTTGAGGAGGGCGGGAGGGGATCAGAATAAACACGTGACGTCGCAGAGAACGATGGTGGTGAGCTGTTGTGTCTTTATTGAAGGGAAAGCTTTTCGGACGCGTTTATGTTCTGTTAATGAAATGAAGATCAGTATCAGAATTTATATTGTTACTTTTAAATTCAAAATTGATTTGACTGTTCAGTTAATTTTCAGAGGTAACGAAAGCATTTGAATTAGTTTAACTGACAATAATAAAAGGAACGAGACGCGATGGTTAGGCTTCGTCCCGTGATGTGAAGTCTGTTTTGAGCAATCGTGCCGGTAAGAGTGGATTGTTTCGAAGAAAAACAGTATTGCACATTCCTCGAGATTGCACTGCAGATGGGTTTTGCCTCCAGGTAGTGTTTCTATCGGATCACATTGATAGCTGAAACTACAACAAGACTTCAGCTTGGCAGGGTTGTCCAAGAACGTGCTACTGTGTGCAATCATATTTAAGCTGTGAGATCGTGAGCCGATGCTAATTCGTATTTGTCTCTCTGTAGAGGCAGAACAAAGGAGAAGTAATAGAAGCCTGTGGGACTGCAGCTTGTCGGCCGGGACCAGGGGCAAAGTCCCAGAATGGAACAACTTTCAAATATGTACAGACATTCTCCTCTCAAACGAATAGTTACGTTTCTGGAGAGACTTCGTAAAGCGGTATTTCTTGAAGAAAGTCGATATTCCCCCGAACCGCAATGTTATAATTCGGGATGTTTGCTGTATGATCGTCCTGATAATGGAGGCAGAAAACATCTCCGAAACGTTCGCAAACTTCTGTCAGGCTACATGGCGCAAAAACCCAGAAAACACCCATCTCAAAAAGCCTATTTGCTCGTAGTGACCTATTCTTGCTTGTAGACTGTAACTAAGACAGTGAACAGGAAATCCTATAACGTGTCTGCATGTTGGGGCTAGAAAATTCCTTTCTATGATAACCTGATCTCAGATATTCTCTATCTAATATTAAAATGACAAGGTTAACTTTATAGTGTTGTTTGTTTTGTTTGTAAGTCTGATCGTAAAACGTTTTCCAGGCATCATGACGACGCTGGCTTTCGAATAAGTGGTCGAAAACCTCCCAAGATGATTTCGCTCAATCACAGGTTAATTTACCGAAAATGACTTAACAAAAATCTGTTTACGAAACAGCTTACAGAACTACCCATTTCAATCATTCCGGAAAGGAAAAGCGAAGAGGAAAATATTCTACAAGAGAAGTGATTCCATCAACAAAGATGAATTATAATGTAATAAAAATCCTAAACTTTTAGCAAATCATTTCAGTACTTCGTAACATTTTTAGAAAGAATGAACAATGACATCACAACCTTAACAACAAAAGACACAACAAAGTACCGTTACGAAAACAATCTTTGACATCTTTCTAAATACAAATCTTATATCCACAACAACAATTAAATGAAAAGTATCGTACATTTTCTTAAATAAAAAAATCATGTGGGTATGATTAAACATCAGAAGCTTTACTCAAAAGCTGTGCAGACTATGTTAGCATTCGTTTAATTTTGCTTTTCAGTTAGTCAATGGCAGTACGCGCATTCCCAGAATTACTTAAAGTGTGAGCAAACTTTAATGTCTAATTACAAACCAGTTTCATTGCTAACAGCAATCTGTTAATACAAGTTGTCCCAAAAGATGTATACACTAGGCTGACGTTTGAAATGGTTGTGTGTACATATTTTTGGTACACTGTCTTCGTGAACGTTATGTGCAAGAGAGCACGTGATTTCTTAAACTCAAACAATTTTAATTTTTTAAAAAAAACTTCTTAGCTGATAATGTCCTACTCCGTTTTATAAATGAATATTCTTAATAATAAAATGCGTGTTGGTTTAATATCTTCTGATCTCGCTAAGGAATTTTCTTTTTTGTAAATAATTAATTATTACTGTCAAACATGAGTTTCTGTGGAATTCGAATTGTAGCTGGTCATCAGTTTAAATCATACTTTCAGAAATCTGTTGTTTTCAAATTGCATGAATGTCTTTGCTGAACAATGGATTAAAGCCAAAAACTCACAATGTTGACAAAATCAAAATTTATAAAATATTTTGAAAACAAAAAACTTTTGTCGCTATAAATATAGGGTATGATGAAACAATTTAAAAAGTACATCAATTAAGTTTATAGATCTTCAAATTAGCAATATTTAAAATGATAAAAACATTTAATGCATTTCCCCTAATCTAAGTTCTTTAGATTTTGCTATGAGGACAGTCAAATCAGTCAAGAAAACAGAACCATTGAAATCAGTCTACATTGAGAACTTTTATTCCATCATATGAACGGAATACTTTTTAGGGAACATAATATAATGAAATTAAGTAATTCTGTAATATTTTTTATATTATAAAAAGTCTAAATCACGACATGCAATCTGTTCCATAGAAGAATTTGCCTTGACTAAAAATTCTTTATTTTCACAAATTTGAACTTTCAGTGTTGGTCCTTCCAGCCATTTCTGGAATGTGTCGTACTGTGCGTGCTTCAGTATTAGTTCAAATCATATCCTGCACGAGTTATCTCGTTACAGTTACTTTCATCTCTGTTCGCGACGCGAAGCCAAGCCGAATTATTTAAGTTCGATGGTGGAGCTCGCCCAAGTTCTGATTTAGTTGTGAAAGCGAGAATTTTTATGTTGTGTGTTAAAGAAATAATTTCGAAGTTCAGAATACACCATACAAATCTGTTGCTTTTAGGTAAACCAGCTTCGTTAATTCAGAGGTTATGCTGTATTTTTGTGTGTAACAATTCATACATGAATGCCATTAAATAGTCTTCTTTAATGCGTAGAAGATCTGATCAGTAGTTAATTACGTCGAAAACATAGCTATTATCTCAGATTATATATAAAGTTAATCTTGCCAGAAATTATATTTTGTATGATGTTGATAAACGAATTAAATTCGTCAGTATTAAGTAACATTTTTTGCAACAGTGTTTCGTACGTAGGTTAATTAATCTCACGGGAAGATCGCAATAAAACTAATCTTAGTAAAATAGGTTGTGAAGATGTGTACCAAATTGAACTGGCACGTGACAGGATATACTGGTAAGATCGTGTACCATTAATGCACATGAATTTTATATTTTGACAGAATCTGTTGACAGATTGAATAACAGTTATTTAAG